TTGTACAATTAAATTAATTTTATTTATATAGCGCCAAGTCACAACAGAAGTCGTCTCAGGGCACTAAACAGAAACATCCATAAATAAAAATAATAATTTAAGACTTTATCTGAGGAGCAGACTGCTTTGAGTTTAACTCCATCGCAGAACTCTCATCTTGAGCAAGCATGAAGGCGACCTTGGAAAGAAAAACACCCTCATGAGGAAGAAACTTTTAGCAGAACCAGGCTCAGGACAAGTGGCCATCTGCTTCGACCATCTAGGTTTGGTAGGAACAGATACACAATGACAGGTCAAGAATCACATGTTAAGATAGAAATAGTATCAAATGAAAACTATTCAATTTTAACAATTCATTTAAGGAAATGAGGTCAATTTGTCCTCCAGTACTCTAAGCTTAAGGCAACATAACAAGCCGACCCTAACTATAGGATTTATCAAAAAGGAAAGTCTTAAGCCCAGTCTTAAAACTGGACAAAACGTCAGTTCAAAGTTTTCTATCTAAGGAAGGAAGCATCAAAATCATTGAATCTTCACTTTGTCGCAGTCTTACATCCTGAGCAAGCACAAAGTTAGTGGAAAGGAAAAACTCCTTATTAACAGGAAGAAACCTCCAGCAGAACTAGGCTCAGGACAAGCGGCCATCTGCTTCGACCAGCTGGGTTTGAAAGGACAGGAAGGAGAGACAAATGAACACAAAATGGCAGATCCAGGTCCAGGTGTAGGTGTACCCTCTATTGGAAGAAACAAAAAAAAAACATGTTAGGCATAGAAATAATTATAAATACAGGTAGAAATACAAAACAGTTAAGAGTATGTAAAGACAGCAGTGGAGTAAAGAAATGTTGTCATTTTGTCTTCCAGCAGTCTAAGCCTATAGCAGCATAACTAAGGGATAGCTATGGAAACCCAAGCCAACACTTAACTATAGGACTGATTAAAAAAAAGAAGAAAAATCTTAAGCCCAGTCTTAAAACTGGACAATGTGACAGACCTACAGGCAGAAACTGGAAGTTGGTTCCACAAGAGAGGAGCCTGATAACTGAAATATCTTCCTCCCATTCTGCTTCTGGAAACTTTAGGAACCACAAGTAAACCTGCAGTCCGAGAGTGAAGTACTCTGTTAGGAAAATATGGAACACTAAGATCTGTAATATAAGCTGGAGCTAGGTTGTTGAGAGCTTTGTAGGTTAGAAGTAAGATTTTGAATTCAATTCTGGACTTGACAGGGAGCCAATGGAGAGAAGCTAAAATTGGAGAGATATGATCTCTCCTACTAACTCCAGTTAAGACTCTGGCAGCAGCATTTTGGATTAATTCAGTTTATCTATATAGCGCCAAGTCACAACAGAAGTAATCTCAGGGCACTGAACAGGAATATTCATATATAAAATAAGTTAACAGAAACATTCATATTTAAAAATCATAATTTAACGTTATTTATCTGAGGAGCAGACTGCTTTGAGTTTAACTCATTGCATAACTCACTCTTAATGGTGAACTAAAGTTCATTAAAAGTTCAACAGGATATATATATATATAT